CTCAGGAGTTGCCAGAACGACACGAACTGCCTCCAGGACTCTGGCTCCGGATTTTGCCTTGAAGCCTTTTCCATCAGTGGATATGGCCACAAGGCAGCGGAGGTTTGAAATTGGAGTTTTCTAGTTTCACTTCCCACAGTGCATCTGGCACAACCTCCTGCCTGAGTGTGGTGGGAAATGCTTCGAGGAGGCCCTGAGAGTACAATGTTTAAATGGCTGTACCCAAAGCCATGTTTGCATGGCTGGCATTTGTCACCATGAGGGAAGTAAGCCTTTGCTTCTCTTGTCTTGTCTTCACCCAGGTGAGTGGAGAACGTTCAACTGTTCTTCACGAGAAAATGTGGGTGGGACTATCGTGGCATATGAAAGGTTTTGCACAACATTTGCTGACTTTCCACAAAATTTGCTTGGTTTTATACAAAACTTGCCTTACATTACAATGACAGCAGCTTTGTTTTAATAATTTGAAACATCACTTGGGTGGTCCTTTTAACACACATTGCATTGCCTTTGAAGGAGAAATAAAAACTCCTTGTCTTGCTCTTATCCGAAGTGTGTGACGAATCTTGTTGTTGGTTCAAGCTGAGGAACCTCACTGGACTTTTTAATTCTAGGCTGAGGTATCTCATTGTGTCATAAAGGGGCAAGAACGTAGAGTTTAGTAAGTCCACCCCATCCCTTGTCACTGCATTGAGCTGGAAAGAGGAAATACTGGTCAAAACGATGTGCTGATTTGTAATGCCTTCCAGGTAGGGCCCCCAACATGATAGCCTTTTGATACTCTTGACTCTTGTCAGTCTTGTGGGGAGAGGAGGTTTTCCACAGTGGCTGGGGGTGATGGAGACTATAGCCCTGGCCATCAGGAGGGCTAGTAAAGATGCAGAATTCCAAGGTCACAGGTGTTGTGTGGTAGAGGGAGATTAGAAGTGGGGATTTCCAGAATAATAACTATTATTCTCATTTTGGGGTTATTGAAGCTTATAGAAAATGACTTGTGTCCTATGGCTGGACCACCCTTGAAGTTTTATAAGCTTGAAGGGACATAGATGTCACTTTCTCCAACCCAAACCCACTGTTGTCCATTACACCACAGTGATTCTCATGTGGAGAGTTTGTGTTTTTTATTTTAAAAAAATCAGGAGCAGGAAGTGAGCTGCAATGGCTGAAAAACATGAGTAGAAACCTACCAGATTTCAGAAAAAGAGGTGTTGAAATTAAGGTGTTTGAAACCAAGGTTATTGCTTTTCCATTGGTAAACTCTCCATTGACTTGGGGTCAAAACTGGAAACTTGAGTTCTCCTAAGAAACTCTGTTAAAAAAACCCTTGAGTTGGCTGCCTCTTCTCCCATTGCCTAAGCCTATAACATCTGTGGGAAATGAGGTAAGTGACAAGATTACTGTCCTTGTAAAAGGGCAACAGCAGACCTTTAGTGTTCCCATGTGTGGCAATTTTTATGTTTTGCCTGTTGTTGCCCCTCCGCAGTAAATTGTGGAGAGGAGAGCTAGTCTGAGGTAGATTTGGTAGAGCTGCGGTAGAGCTGGGAAATGGGGCAATCTGGTATTCTTGTAAAATGAAACAGATTGTTTATTGGACAATTCGAAGTTAAATGTTTGTACATCCACTGAGACGGTTATTCTGCTTGACGAAGGGGTCTTGTGTCTAATAAACCAAATCTTTTTTTTTAAATTCCTTTATGGAACTTGTATGCCTCTTTATATAGTGAAATTTCTAAGCCATTGTATTGAAGTGTAAAGGTACAAAAAGTAGAAAAAGTTTTGGAACAGTTTTGGAACATAATGCTTTAAAAGAATAATGCACAAAAAGAACGGTTGTAATCAGCTGTTGGAGGCCTACAGAAAGAAGGATGTTTTCAGCAAGAATTTAAATTGGAACACTTAAAAGTATGATGAACAAATAATGGAGTTACCTGAAGCTAGTTACTTTTTGGAACAGCAAAGGCACAGTGAAGTAATAATCCAGACTCACTACAATTAGGAGACAAGTAACTTCACCAACACAAGTAGCATTTTTAGCTGTTTTCAAAGTTACTTTGACAGACACCCCTCCCTAGTTTTAAGTCTTACCTATTTTCAGTGTCTTCCATATTTGTATTTTCAAGTGCAAACTCATAATTGTCCACTAGAACTTGTTTGCTTGTATTTTTCTGGTGTGTCTGTACTAACAGCACAGTGTGTTAAAAATGAAGAGCTAGTAATGTGACATTTTAAAATGAACTTGTCACATTTGCTAATTCTTACCCACAGATTGTTGTGACTGTTATCATTGCTCCAATTGCAGAAGTAGTTTGTTGCCTTTGTTTGCTGCAGCTGGTGCTAATGATCACAATCATCTGACTGGCTCAGATATACCTGATGAGATTGGAGTAAGAAGTAATGCCGTGAATTTCTTTCTTAAAGGGATGTCCCAATGCTCTGTTCTTGGACCACTTGGGAGAGCATGTTCCAGGGCATGGGGCTACCATGACGAGTGCCTGCCTCTGCGATGTTCCATTCGCCATAGAGCCTGAGGTCTCCACTGAGGATCTCAGGGTTGGTTTCCCACTTGCAGGGAAGGTGGTCATCGGCTAGATGTCATGTTTCAGGGCTGTGTCTTTTGACGAACATGGAACAAGACATGGACCAAATAGACAGCCCGTAGTTGGTCTGTATCAGTAAGCCTGAGAGTTCTGCTCCCCTTACTAACAGCGGAACAAGGGCTTGATGAAAACGGAGTGGCATTTGGAGAGAAGGAAAAGCAAGCAGGCAAGAACGCCAGATAGACTTCTCACCTCACACAGAGACAGGCAGACACATACAGAGCATTCTGAATATTTTGCATTACAACTCCCAGCCCTTCCTAACCATTGTCATACTTGCTGGAACTTGATGGGAGCTATTCAAAAAATCTGGAGAGTGCCACGTGGGCAGCAGTTGGCTTTTTAAAACCCCAGAGGGACAGGGCATGGCTGTTGGTCAGGCTGGAAACCTGAACAGAAGCGGTTCTGTTAGAGGGGAAGATGCACACTGTAACATTTTGTTGCACTCTCATTCATATACATAGCAAGGCCTGTTCTATGGGGTTGCCGACAGTGGAGAGAAAGAAATTATTTCAGGGCCACTTGTTAGCTCCTTAGACTTTCTTTGCCAGCCTTTCGGGTGAGTTTGACATTTAACCAGTCGAATTGTTGGGACCAATATTTTTAACTGTCTAGCAAACTGCTATATTTATCCAAGCCATAATAAAGAAAGGCCAGATTTGTAATCTGGGTGCTTCTGTTGGGACATATTTTGCTATTGTTGTTAAAAGATTACCTTGAAGTTCCTTGCTCAACACTCGAATATCATCAGCTGTAATTTTTTTTAATGTTTTTACCCTGTTGTCCTCCTTAAAAAAGGACCAAAGGTGGCTTACATCATTAAAAGACAATATTTAAAGCAAAGAACAATGAATATATAAAGGTTGCTTTCACAATTAAAAGATGATACTTTCAGCTAAAAACAATGAGTATTCAAAGACGGCTTGCATCATTAAAAGACAATATTTAAAGCTAAAAACAGTATGTATACAAATATTTAAAAGGTTCAAACAAATGCCAGGATAAAAACCAATGATTTTTTTAAAAAAATAATATTGATTTAAATCACAATTTAAATCACAATTTAAATTTTTTAAAAATATTTTTTTAAAATTTAAATTGTAAAAAAATCCGATTTTAATCTTTAAATTGTGACTTAAATCGTGACTTTAATCAGTGTTATTTAAATCAAATTCACCCTGAACAGAACTACCTTGTTTGAAAGGACTAGCAGATTGAATTGAAAATCACTTGGCTTCAACATCCAAAGAGAAGGAAACTAACCAACCAACCCAGAAGCTGTTGATTGTAGCTTGGTGGTTAGAATGTGCTGGTTTGGATAAATCTTTTCATTAAGATGATTGCCATTCACTTTTCGGTTTGGATAAATCTTTTCATTAAGATGATTGCCATTCACTTTTCAGTTTGGTGAGGTTTCAAAGCAGCTTGTGTATAACCTAGTTTATAGGCATCAAACACACACACAAAAATCTCCCCTAGAAATTGAGCTTGCCACCATGTGACTGGCTAAGATAAAGGAGTCTTGGCCAATTAATTAATTAATTTAATTGAAATCTGTGTATGAATAGAAAGAGTGGTTTTGAAGTAAACAGAAGCATAATTCCTTTTGTTCTTACATTAGCCTTCATCAGCCTGCTGCCTTAGAAGTGTTTTGGAGTCTGTATCCTATCCACTCCAAACACCATTGCCATTGTTTAGAGAAAATGGGTTTTGAAATCCCAAGGACACCAGCTTTGGGAGGTTAATCCTGCAATCTATCATCGCAGGTTAGCATCTTAGCACCAATCATCTCTGTGACAGAGGACCTAGCACTTAACATCACAGTTTTGCAAATTCTTAAAGGTCTTGAATTGGGGCACCTTTTTTTAAATAATTAACTAAGCATTAGATACCTAATATATTTTGTAGGCAGGCTTCTGGTTCTTAATCTCTTTTTGTCCATCTGTAAAATGGGCATAATGCTGTAGCAAGAACGATTTCTATGATACATCAATTTTTTTCTTCTTCAGCCTATGTTTGAATTTATAAGTGGTTTTGGACACGTTTATGAGTAATCTGGTGAGAAAGGCCAGATTAAACATGTTTAAACGTGCTTCTGGGTTCAGATATAGCTTTCACAGAAAGTGTGAAATGTTGTAGAAATCTTGCCCCTACTGATACGTATTACAATTTTTCCTTCACTGCAAGATAAAAGCACATCTGGGAATTTGTAAACTTATAAAGTAGTCATCACAAGGCATGGATCTGTAAGTTTGTAAAGTATTTGGCACATTAAAAAATTGTATAAAAACTGACTGTTAGTAAATGCTAGAGAAACAGGGTGCTTGCTTTCTTTTAGCCAACCTGCTGGATTTGAGAGCCTCTTGACATCTATGCCTAAAACATCTCATTTTTCTTTTAAAGCTTACACATCTGGAAAAAAGCTATGGGATGTCCCCATATCTCACACAGACCAGCTCAGCCCTGGAAAACTGCGGTGGGAGCCACAGTGCCAATATCAACTGCGCCACCTTCAGGATGGTGCTAGAATTTCTGCTCTTCAGCCTCCTCAGTTGGAAGGCCATTGGATTTCAACAGGGTAAGAAGAGTGAAGCGGTGCAGAGGCAATCTTGCAAAGGTGCCAAATGCAGCAGAGACACATTGCCACTCTTGCTGCAAACTGTGTTTATGTGCAGGTGTGGGTTTTGAGTATTAGTTGGGATAGTGTATTTCTCTTCTGTTGTTTATTCCAGTTTCAAAGTCAGCTGCTGAAATTCTGTTCCTGTAACTATGGCTGCAGAGGACTGGTAACATCATCAGCATGGGATGATTTTTGGAAAGGAAACATTTCCACAATCCTTTTCATTGGGAGCCCTGGGATGGGAGGAGATAGTTTTTCATTACTGAAAATCACAACCTGCAGTAATATCAACCCAACAGTGATTTTTGGTTATTAAAGACTTCTTCCTCTTGTCCCACAGCTCCCTGACAATGAATGGGAGAAACATTCTGCTTTTATTTAAAGAAAAGTTGATTAAACATAGTGGAGATCCAATCATCACAATGTCTCTATCCCTTTTTAAAATTCTGCTTTCAGAACAATTTTTTTTAGTAATGTGACCATTCATTTCACTACTCATCCTGAAGAAGCTACTTGGATGAGTAGTGAAACATTTCAACCTAACAAGAAAGAAGTCCAGTTGCCATGACTCAACTTCCAGATAACCTCACCTGGATGCCTGAGAATCTTCACAGATATCTTCCTTCTCCTAATTCAATCATTCATTGTTGTTGCTCATTACATGATTCATACCAGATCACTTTCATTGTATCAAAATCAGTGTAGTGTCTTGAGTTTAATTTTGCACAAATATTTGGAGAAAACTTTGACTTTGCTGCAGGATGCTAATGTGGTTACCCATGGCATTTTTCACAGTGAGTCAAAATGATACAAATGTTGACATTCTGCCAAACGTTTTTCAGGTCTCACATTTCCCCCCAATAACCAACAGGAACACAACAAAATTCCTGTTTGAATTAATTTGCACCTCTCGCACAACCAAAGATAAAATTCCTGTTTGAATTAATTTGCACCTCTCGCACAACCAAAGATACAATAGTGTTCCCATATCCATGAAGGATTGGTTCCAAGCCCACTCACAGATGCTGAAAACTATGGATAATAGTGAACATTAAATATCGCATGGTAAAAGAAAAAACTGGATAATTTTTTTTCATGTTGTGTTACCAGAACTGGCCACTAGAAGGAACTAGAATCCTTACTATGTATTCACCAACAAGTAGGGGTCCTACTGTATACATAGTGTAGGTGCAACGAAAACTGATATTATTGATAAGAGCCCTGGTTGTAACTAAAACATCCTACTTGCTTTCAGGTGTGAAGTGAGGCCAGGACCTGAATATCTAACCCGTTCATATATGTTCTTCCCCAACCGCCTCTTCAAAGCCTATCAGTTCTATTACCAAGACCCTGGCTGCCGGGACCCCACCTACTCCCTGGTCATCAAAGGCAAAATCAGGCTTCGCCAGGCCTCCTGGATCACCCGAGGGGCAACTGAAGCAGATTACCACCTTCATAAAGTTGGCATCGTCTTCCACAGTCAGAAGGCTATGCGGGAAACAGTGGCTCGCATCAACCAGACGTCGGGAGAACACTGTCGTGGGTTCTTACCAGCTGGACGAGCATGGGCTCCCGGTGCCATTTATGAGCTTCTGAGCACCAAAGGAGAGCAAGACTGCACTGCAGGCCTCGGCTTTGCCATGCACGAACTGAGCCTTGTGCGGGTGGAAAAATACCAGCAGCCATTGTTTTTGCATCAGAACCAGGGAGACCAGGAAGTGGAGGAACTGTACCTGGGGGACATCCACACTGATTGGTCAGAAAGGCTGCATTATCGACCAACAGGATACCAGCGTCCCCTCCAGAATGCAATGGTAAGTCTACAACTTATCACGAGATGTCGTCAGTCTAGCCTAAGAGTGAGCCCCTTTTTATTGTTTCCACCAAAAAAAGATTTGCCCATTTGCACATAATAGGTCAGGGAAACCCTCCATTTTCCCAATGCTCCAAATCAAAACAAGATTTGGATGGCTCATCACCCAACATTCTGGGCATTTGGCAGCCTTGTGTGACCTCTGTAGGTGTTGTTGACCTATATTTGCCCTTGTTTCACCCCAGCCCTCTGAAGTAGCTCAGTCAGACCTACTAGCTTGCTCTGGTTTATAGCCAACAAAAATAGCATTGGACCTGGAAGTTTTATTCTTTCTCATTTCACAAGTCCCAAGGAGTGATCAACAGTGGGAAAATAGTCATTCCCTGCAGGTTATGTGGCTCTCCTTCTTAGAATGCAGTGAACCCTTGCATTTTTTGAGACATGTAGAATATCCCTTTATGTAGAAAACTAGAGATATTTGCTGTTTTTTCCTTCTTCTCCTGCTTTATTTTTTTGTATTTTTTTTCTTAAACTACAACATAAAAGTTAAAATACATAAACCAAAAATACAAATCGACTGTGTTTCCCACCACCCAAGTCAGGACCACTTGCAGTAAACCTCTTCTTCCTCTGTCTTTATTATTATTCTTTCTTTATTGTCTTCTTCTCCAGAACTGCATTGATTCTTGATTTGGAGCTTTCCCTTTTCCTCTTGTTAGCACATATTCAAGAAATCTGCCACATATATCATACAAGTTATTCTTTTTCATCTTTCCTTTCTTAACCTTTAAGTTACAAGTTAACTTATCATTTATAGCAATGTTCCATATTTCATTATACCATTCTTCCATTCGAAATTCAAACTTCTATTTCCAGTTCTTAGCTATTATTAATCTGGCTGCTTTTAATAAATTGGTAATCAATTCTCTAGTCATCTTATCATATTCTGCATTCTCAAGTATTGATGACAGAGCTATCTCAGGATTAAATTCTATATCTTTTTCGCATATGTCATTTAGTTCTTTAAAGATGAGTTTCCAAAATCTTACTACTTTTTCGCATTCCCACCACATATGAAAGTATGTACCAGAGGGCTGTCCTCTGAAGATGCCGGCCACAGAGACTGGTGAAACATTAGGAAGAACAACCTTCAGAACACGGCCAAAGAGCCCGAAAAACCCACAACAACCATTATGTACCAATTTCCTTCTCACATTTCCAACAGACATTCAGATAACTAGTGTTAATTTTATTCAATTTTGTCGGTGTCAAAGATTTGCTGTTTTCCAGCTAAGAGTAAGTGAAACTCTGCTCTCTGTAGGCTGGAATGCTATAGACCCAGCCAAGTGCAATCATAGATTGTTCTGAATGAATCAATAAGGAAAAAGGAAAGGAAGCGATTGCTAAGAGAGTATTACATTTTGAAGCCAACAGTGTATTTGGATGGAAAAGTGCGAAAGATGGATCAAACTTTTTGGTAGGTGCATCCTGTAGAGCAGTGGTCCCCAACCTTTTCCCAACCGCAGGCTGGTTGGGTGTGGGGGGGGCAGGGCACACTCGTGGGGGTGTGGTGCGCCCACAGGGGGGTGGAGTGCATGCATGTGGAGGCACTTGCGGGGGGCACTTGTGTGCATGCATGCTTGCAAGTAGTGGAGCACTCTAGTGTGCATGCACGTGACGGCGCTTGTGGGGGGCAGGAGATCTGTATCCACGGCCCAGTCCTGCCTAGGCTGCAGACCGACCGCTGCCTGGTCGTGGACTGGGGGTTGGGGACCCCTGCTGTAGAGCAAGGTTGGGAAGCATGCTGCCTGTAGGCCAGTATGGCTATTTTCATGTGCTTCCCAGCAGCTCTTTGCCATAGTTATGCCAGATCCATGGCTCAGAGGGAGTAGAAAAAGACAAGGGAGTTCACTGTTGTATTTTGGGACCAAAGGATGTCTCTATTTTGAATGCATCAAGAATTAAGCTATGACTGTACCATGCGTTTATTCTAAATAAATATACAGTATGGGTTCTTCCTCCAGACCAGACTTCTGCGGAAGTTCTTAAAGACTCTCTCTCTCTCTCTCTCTCTCTCTGTGTGTGTGTGTGTGTGTGTGTGTGTGAGAGAGAGAGAGAGAGAGCATTTCAGCAAATCTGGAGCCATTATCTGATTATGCATTGATCAAATAGAGATCTAGTAACCCATTATTCCTCAATGGAATGCCATTAGAAGAGGAAATAGCATTGAATCTAATTATCGGCAGCAGGTCTGGGATATACAGAAACTGAACTTTCAGTGCAGCTTAAATGTGACTACACAGCCAGCCCTCATTTCTGTTTAACTTCTCCCGCCTCCCAGCCCTTGGTCAGGAGCTCGGTTTCTTTCCCAGAGTGTATTTTTTTAAATCAAAATCATAACTAATCAGTTTACAAATGTGATTGCACTGAGAGATGGCACAACAGAGAACAGGAGAAAAATGCTCAGGACTGTTACCAGACAGGAACAGAATGAAATGGAGACGTCGAGGAGAGAAAACAGGTTTTTTCCACCCAGGGTATATTGCAATCATTGGGATTCTAGAAAGGGAAAGAATGAACAGAAAAATAGCCACCTCCAGGAAATAGGCTCAGATTGGCATTCAAGCTCTCTTGTGCCAAAACCATGCATGTTTGAGCTAAACCAGATGGTAAATATGAATGCTGGCTAAAATTAATTTAAAAGCAAGCTGAGGTGTTTGGAAATACGGTGACTTCACTGCAATGTTGCAATTCATCAGCTAACAGTTCCATGGGGCTTGTTACTGGGGGTGATGTAACTGCTTGGGGAGAATTAGACACTGTCATCTGGAGCCTTCAAAAGAGCTTCACGCAGGTGAAAAAGAGAGAGATTTTTTGACTATGAGGTCTATAAAGTTTGGCTGGGTTTCATAACCGGCCATCCTTTTGGGTTGCCAGCAGCCTTTGGGGGTGGGCAATAGCGGAGTGGCACAGCTCATCCTTTTCATGCCAGGTTTGATTTGTGGCACCTGGGAAATACTTCTGTGTGAGGCTCATACTACAGTGGTGCCTCGCTTAACGACGTTAATTGGTTCCAGCGAAATCGCTGTAGAGCGGAAAGGTAAAGCGAAATAAAAAAGCCCATTGAAATGCATTGAAACCAGTTCAATGCATTCCAATGGGCTGAAAACTCACCGGCCAGCGAAGATCCTCCATAGGGGCTGCCATTTTCAGTGCCTGTAGAGCGAGGAATCCATCCAAAAACACAGCGGGGAGCCATTTTGCGCACCCGGCGGCCATTTTGAAAACCCGACGATCAGCTGTTTTGATCGTCATAATGCGAAGAATCGGTTCCTGAAGCAGGGAACCAACCGATCTTCACAAAGCAAAAAAACCCATTTAAAACATCGTTTTGCGATCGCAATTGCGATCGCAGAAACATCGTCGTGAAGCATATTTGTCGTTATACGGGGTAATCGTTAAGTGGGACACGACTGTAGTTTATTGTTACAATAGCTTGAAAGATAGTCTGTTCGCCATAGCACTGGCTTGCTTACAATCCCCATCGTGTGAATGAGTGATTCTTTGGAGCACTTTCTTTCTCTTTAAAGTAACTGGTTTTTCCCTGATGATCTTGTTCATTTTCCTGCCATCCATATGACATTCGACACGTCTCAATAATTTAAAGGACAAAATCTGCTGTAGCACACTTACAAGCAGCATGCTTTATGTGTGCCCTCCTAAAAACATGATTTATTTAGGGGCTTTTTTTTTCCAGGGGTGGAGGTGTTGAATTTAGTGCTCTGGCACTTCTTACTTATTTCTCTGGTTTCCAGGGTCCTCATCAGAAGTGTTCAGTGTGCAAGTATTTATTTTGGGGCCTACAACTCACATTGGCTGTATCTGGCATAACTAACAGTACTAGGTTAACAGGAAAGGTTGCATGCTTTTCTCTGCAAACAACGGCAATTTCAGCCTCTGGTTTCTAGTTTTAAAAAAGCCTATTTTGGATAATATAGTCTGCAAAAGGTATGCTTCTGTGGTACATAGTACGAAGGCATGAAAGAAGCTGAAAGAGAACCTTTAAAACACGAATGATTCACACTTATGAAAGATACAAAAGGTGTTTTTTGAAAATTAAAAACACCTTTTGTGTCTTTCATAAACCCAAATCATTTTAAAAAAATTTAAAAATGATTTTTGCTGCCTAGGCCTGGCCTGCTTCTGCTTCTAGATGGTGGGGGGTGGGTGGGGAGGAAGGGAAGGCATTAAGTCGTCTCCTGGGGAGAACCTTCCTATATTCTAGTGTTTTTGATTTGGGGAAGAAGCTTTCATTTCTTTTTGCCTTTGCTTGCTTTCCTTGTGTTTTGGAAGAACGAGCTGTATGTGTTTTGTTTATTTTGCTATTTTTCCGTGTATGTGTGTGTGTGTGCATGTGCGTGTGTGTTTTGTGTGTGTGTGTGCACGCGCGTGTGCGCATGTGTGTGCATGCTTTCCCTGTTTGATTGATTTTTAAATTTTTTTTATTAATTACTATGTATTTACTCTGTTAAAGATGTATATTTTGGTAGATTTTGTATGGACCGTTTTGGTTGCATTTTGGGGGATGTTGTGGGCTGCGTGATAGATTTTATGATCATGCCAATGTGTTGCTAGAGTGTGTAGGCGATGGTGGTTTGTTGGGCAGTTTGGGGTGTTTTTCTCTTGTTATTCTTATTTTTGTGTTGCTTTTGGTTGTTTTAGTGTGTACAGTAGGTGTCTCTGTGTGCTGCCATACCACCCCAAGCCCCAGATAAACCCCTTCTATTGAAAAGAATGTCTTTGATTTCCCCTCAAATCTGTATCTCTTTTAAAAGAAAAAAAACCCTTGGAAAATTATCTCCCATTATTAAAATGTTTCCTGCTTTAGAAGAATGAACATCTATAAGCAACTTCTGGGAATATTCAGCTAGAATGCACTGTGCACCATCAACACTCCTTAGAGTGACAGTTGTGGTAAGGTCAGCTGAAAATTGTTGAATTACCACAGACTTCAGTCAACATGCATGTAAATTGCCCTCAGTATTTCAATCTGGTCCCCGTGTAAACACCACTGGCATCTCTCAAAACTCAACCCGCTGTCGAAGCCTAACTTATGAAAACAGATCCAGTTCACTGTAAATTATATATTGCTCATTTCTATAATTAGTAAAGCAATAGCCTAATGCTGACAAGAAACATTTTAGTTGACTTACTCAAATAAAGAATCAAGGTGTATGTCTCCTGTTTTGCATGTCATTTGATAATATGCACATTTCTTTTCCATGAAGTGGACCTAGCTCCTCATAGTGGAGTAGAAAGGAAATTGCTACTACAGGGTGGTTTCCAGATACCACTAGACAAAGAAATGATGGATAAATGTGCATTTCTTTGCATTGTAAAACAACAATGCATCGTTTAGGGACCATAAATCTATGAGCCGAAAATTACTTGTCCATCTTTCTGTCTTTTCCTGCTGCATTCAACCCAGTCTCGCTCCCATCCAGGGTGGATAAAAATCAATTTAAAAAAAATGATTTAAATCACAATTTAAATTTTAAAAAGTAATGATCAAAAAATCCAATTTTTAAAACTTAAATTGTGATTTAAATCACAATTTAAATTTTAAAAAGTAATGATCAAAAATCCAATTTTTAAATTGTGATTTAAATCAAATCTATCCTGCTTCTAACTATTCAAGCTTTCATACTTCGTAAATTCAACATATACCAGTAAAAGCAGCTGGAATGTATCTTTGGGCAGAGAATTGAATACTTCTTTTGTACTACAGTATTTCCATTTTGTTTTTTCAGTCTGAGAATATACTGCAGTCATGGGTTTTTGAAATCCTATCTCATTCCACTGTCCTCAGTTTCCCATGCATTATTTGAGGGCTAGGTGGGTGGGTGGGTGGAGCAAAGGACGAGAATCCAATCTTAGAACTGTAGAAAGCAGATTCTGTGCCACTCTTAACTCATGCCTGGACTCGATAATGGACTGGATGAAGGTCAATAAACGGAGGCTCAATCCAGACTAGTCGGAAGTACTGCTGGTAGGTGCTCCGCATCAATCCAGACTAGTCGGAGGTGCTGCTGGTAGGTGCTCCGCGTGATTGGTTAAAGGGCCACTTCCCTGCCTTAGACAGGGTTACCCTCCCCATAAAGGACAGAGTTCGTAGCTTGGGGCTGCTCCTTGACCTGGGTCTGACCGTGAAAGCCCAGGTGGACTCAGTGTCCAGGGGTGCCTTCTTATAGCTGTGGAGAATATATCAACTTTACCCTTACCTGGATGAGCGGAGCCTGGTACATTGGTAACAACCAGACTGGACTGCTGTAATGCACTATACGTAGGGCAGCCTTTGAAGACGGTCCGGCGACTGCAGCTGGCACAGAAACGGGCTGCGCAGCTGGTAAGTGGTCCCGCCGCGTGGACTCATATCACACCGGTTCTGAAAAATTTACACTGGCTGCCGGTTGCTGCTCGGGCCCAATTCAAAGTGCTTACTTTGACATATAAAGCCCTAAACTGCTTATGACCTGGTTACCTGGTTTTTAAGAGTCATTTAAAAACTTGTCTCTTCAGGCAGGCTTTCCCTCCTGTCAGTTCTTGAATTCTATCTTTTTGTTCTTTTATTCCCCATCTTAATCACACTATATTATTGTTCAAATGTTTTTAGGATTATGAATGTTGTTTATTTTTTATTGTGATGTTTTTATTGTTATTTAATGATATTTTATGATTTTGTAAGCCGCCCCGAGTAGACGCTGTCTAGGGGGGCAGAGTATAAATTGAATGAATGAATGAATGAATAAATAAATAAAAATACCTAAAGGACCGCCTTCTTACATACGAGCCTGCCCATCCTCTAAGATCAGGCCAGGAGGCCCTTCTGAAGGTGCCATCCTTGAAAGAGGTGAGAGGGGTGGCATGCCAAAATAAGGTCTTCTCTGCTGTTGCCGCCCCACTTTGGAATGCCTTCCCTATAGAGATCTGCCTGGCTCCGACACTTTTGGCTTTTCGGTGCCAGGCAAAGACCTTTCTGTTTAGGCAGCATTTTAATTAAATATTATCCTTTAGCTGGCCATATGAGCAGCAGAATTTATTAATATTAATGTTTTAATGATTGTTTTAAATATAGGGTATTATTATAATATTACATATTTTTAATGGTGTTAATGTTTTTAAAGTTTTAATATTGTTGTACGCCGCTCAGAGACCATTGGTAATGGCGCAGCTAACTTGTAGATAAATAAATAAATAAATTTGTAGAACTGGGGGAGAAACCCCCGTCTTGATCTTTACAGGTCTTTTAGTCTCTACTCTCCAGTCTTTATCATTGTAGCTTAACATTTTAGATTTTTCATCTCTAGCAAGGTAAGTTCTTTGCACTACAGAAACTTACTCCTCACAAAAAAATACGGTGTGTAGACAATACATAATAAAAATGTTACCAAACAACTATTATTATCATTACATTAACTTGATTTATATCCCACCATTCCTCTTGAGCACCCAGGGTGGCTAACTATTCACATCAAAGTTAAAATCGTAATGTCTAAAATCACAAATTGTACACATTCAGAATCACTCCATGTAAGACCCCAGATGAGAAATAGTAAAATTGTAATGAAAGCAATATAAGCGAGAAGCACCAGCTTGCATATTCCTGGAAGGCTTCTTCAAATAAATAAAATTTGTAACTGGAGCTCGAAAGACAGAAATGTTGGGGAAAACTGGATTTCTAGGAGGAGTTTCGTAACGATTTTACCTTTTTTTTGCTTCCAACAGCACTACATTCATCCTTGTCCCGCCTGTGGAGTTATCTACAGAGCTGATGAGCATCATCCACCAATCTTACCAGTCAGACCTGAACTCCCAATGGTGCTACACGGCCGCTGGGCCAGCTCTCGGTGTGAGGTACGGCCGGCAGTGCTTTTCCTCACAAGGTACTTCATTTTCCACGAGAGCAGTCGCAGTTGGGAAGGGTACTACCACCACTACTCTGACCCTCTCTGTAAGCAGCCTACGTTCACCGTGTATGCCTCTGGCCACTACACACAGGGTGCACCATCCCTCATTGTGAAAGGAGGCACTGACCTGGTTTTCACCGTGACCCATGCTCGGGTGACACCAATGGACCAGATTACCTTGATGATGCTGAACTCTTCTGTCTCCGGGAGCTGCGGAGAGGCTAGCTCGTGGAGCATAGGGCGGGAACTAGATGTGACCCACACAAATGGGTGTGCAGCTCTGGGGATTAGGCTCCCCCACACAGAGTATGAACTCTTCCGAATTGAACAGGATGCCAGAGACCGCAGTTTGCTCTTCATAGGCGAGAGACCGACCGATGGATCAAGCCCTAGCATCCCAAGCAAACGGCCAACCTCCTACCAGGCCCCTCTCCTCCAGTGTGGGGGACCATCAGCAGCCTTGGCAAGACACAGAAAGTCAAATTCCCTGGGAAGAGTAGCTGATGATAGTAGGAGTGGAGCCTCGCAGACTGTCCTTCACATGTTACCTTGGGTATCGGCGCTGGCAGTTCTTGCCATGCAGCTGGTCAGGTGGAACTGAAAGCTGAGACTCCTTGGGCTCTGCAGAATCCCAGCAGCCTTACTGTTAATGCGTTCCTTACAAATGAGCACATCTGGACATTTTGTTTTGTTTGATACCTTAAGTACGCTATGTTTTCTTAAGGGCTGTCACCTGATGGATGAACATTCATGCATATCTAAGTGGCTTTGTGCCCATTCAAATCTGACATTCGAGACTGCCGACACAGCCCTTGACAGCTTTTTATGGGGTGACTTTAGGTGGCACTCATCTTGCACTCTGTCCCAATTCTAGAGGGCTGGGATGTTTCTGAAACCTTTTTCTTCTACCACTCCCCCATCCCAGCCAAAAATTTTGGGTGTATAATAGAGAAGCAAAAACCTGCTTTCACAGGATAAAATTTACTCTCTCAGAATCATTCTGGGTTGATCTTACAGATGCACATTGTTTATTAATTGTTTATGCAATATATAGCTATCCCTTAAAAAAGGAAATTTGGGGATTAAGAGAACCTGGCATCTAGCTTTCATGTAATATGTCATTTGTTGGAAAATGTGCCTGTAGCTGGAGAGCGGGAGGGGTGGGGCCACTGCAGTGACAGTGAACTCACTGGTCTGCTCCACTTAGGAGGAAAAACAGTTTTGTTCTGTTCATAGCAACTACAAGGGGCTTATTTTTAGAATTCTAAGGATCCCAGGTTTGGCCATAAGACTCTAGTCCTCAGGGATAAGGTTGAAAGGCAATAGGAGAACAATGCTGAAGACAACCGGTTAATGTGTTGCCAATTAAGCGGAAGCTAACAAGGAGTGCAACTAATTAGTTGTGCGACCACAAAGATTCAAGGCATCTGGTGCTTACTTAATTTGGGGTTTATTTGTGGGGGGTGTTAGGTGTTTTGTTGGGGGAGGGTTGCCTTGTTTTTGAATTTCTGCATTAAACAGATGGCATTTTGAAAGTGGGCAGGGGTTGCATGTTTGATGAAGCCTAAGGTCTACCTGTAAATGTGCAGAAACACCTAGAGTTTTGGTAATGGTGGAAGAAGGAAGCACCGTTTGGGGTGAAGGGAGAGTTGCTCCTTTCTTTTCTCATCACCACACTCCCAACAGTATCGCAAGTGGTACAAGGGTGGAAAAAAATACGAAGCTTCTGCTTGCGTGAGCAGGAACTTGTGTTCTGCTGCTGGGATATGAAGTCCTTAACCCTCTCTATCATGGACCAAACAGTTCTGATACAAATTGCAGATGCCTTGCTGAGTGTTAATTGTTGCAATGATTCGTTTAAAGCAGTTGTTGCCCACCTTGTTGCTGGACCATATCTCTTGTAATCTGTCACCATTGGTTATGCTGGCTAGAGATGATGAGAGCGATAGGCAAAAAACTGCAACCTATGGAGGGCCACAATTGCCCAGCCTGGCACTCAAATAACTAGTAGTTTGGCACTGCTACCTCCCCTCTCCCCCAATGATCTATAAAGGAGGCTCTTATTAAACAGGGAAAATACTCAAGAGGGGCATTTGATTGCACCATCTTTCAGCTGTCTCCCAAGACACTGTGAAAAAGACCCACTGCTAGTTTGTTTGCACCATTTGTCTTTTTTTAACAAGTCAACAAAACAACTTTGAATTAACCTGAGATACACAGCTTCTGGCAGGAGCCAAGAAAACTTCTGCAGTTGTCTGATCAAAATTTCCATTGGACAGCTAGTTCTTAGGGTTGCAGAGTTACAGTGCAACTGGAAGCAACTGCACTCTGCAATATGCCCCCCCCCTTTTGCAATAAAGTGCATATCAGAAATGTTAAGGGAGAAAGAATGGTCCCGATAAGCAACAGTATCTTGGGGTAATTTACAGTACCGCAGCTTCCTTTGTAACTGTGTAGGAACACCTTCCTCTATTCTGACATCAGTAGTCTCCACGGAAAGTGTCTGCTTGAAACTGTTCAGACTAATATTTTTTTTAAAAGGCTATGCAAACTGCCACAATGATATGGTGTATTTTCAAAGTTGCGGCTAAAACATGGATGTATTGATGGGATTCTGTAGTTCTGGTGGGCGATCTCAGACGCAGTGCTTAATGTATAGTTCCTAAAATGCAGCAAATGTATTGCAGCAAGCTACATTTTTTAAAACAGGATTTATTTGGGGAAAAATAATATACATGATACAGGAGTTCATCTTCTGGAAATGTCTATCTTCTGTTACAGATACTTGTGTGATGATGAAAAGAGTGGTATTTTAAAATATTCTGCAGCATCTCATTATTTGGCATGGAACTTGGTTCCCATTTTTATCACAGCTTAGAAAAATATGGTTGGAGTAAATGAAGTGTGTGATAAGGGGGAAACAGAAGTCTCAGCTCAGTGGTTGAGTGGATGTACATTATGTATGGAAGTTTACAGTTTAGTTTTTTGTCTTTTGTTAAATGAAGTGAAACAGCACAGCTGGAAAGGTACAGCAGGCAGATCTGGGCCATGCCGCGATTCACTGCAATGTTAACTTTTACCTTGTCAGAATTGTATTTTGCAAGCACTTTTCTGTATGCTCTCTTGTTTTAGATAGCACACATTTTTGGGTAAGTGGTGGTTCTCCACAACCCAAGAGATTGCAGAGACAGCATGGAGAAATGTAGGAAGTAAAGGTGGTGGTGCCCAGCCTGTAAGAAGAACTCTCCTGGATTAAACCAAAACTCTTGTCAACTCCAGCATTCTGTTTACAAGATGATCCAACTGGCTGCCTATGAGGAACCTACCAGCAAGAACTGGTTGATCGCTCAGTGGTTTAGGCATCTGGCTGCAGAGCCAAAGGCTGATGGGAGAGTTCAATTTCCCACTGTGCCTTGTTGACAGGGCCTGACTCGATGATCCATAGGGTTCCATCCAGTTCTGTGGTTCTAAGACAAGAAAACAACAACACCTTGTTGCTCGTGCCATTAGAGGTTCCCAATTTTGGGTCCTCCAGGTGTTCTTGGACTATAACTCCCAGAAATCCTGGCCTGCACAGCTAGTGATGAAGGCTTCTGGGAGTTTTAGTCCAAGAACATCTGGGGACCCAAGGTTGGGAACTATTGGAATAGGAGAAGCAGCTCTTCTTGAGTTGGAGTTAACTGGCTACCATCTCAAGGACAGCCCCACCCCCGGTTGTTTTCAGACCCCAGACCCAACCATTAACTATGGTTTGTAACAGGTCACACACACCACTTTTACTTGACTACTGTGCTGGGCTCCTGTATTTCAAAAAGTTGTTCAGAAGACGACACATTCTCCTCCATGACAGGGTACAGCCTATCACAGAGGAGTGAGAAAAGGTTACCTAGCTGAACTTTTGAAGAACTCTCTTGCATGTCTGGTCAAATTATTTAACAAAAAGAATAATAATAATAAGCCCTTGTGCATCTCTAGTCTGGTTGAGTCATTTGTAGGCTTTGCCTATCAGCAGCCTTGCTGTTTCTATCACATGCTTTCCTGACCATCTAAGATGCTGCAGTTTTCCTCTTGCCTTTACTTCTCTTCCTAGATTGGGCCCTGGGTCAATATAGGAAGAGGCCCAGTACATGTTACTATCAAGATTACATTGGGAAGTTCCTTTTGCACAATAAGCGCTAATATGTTAAATTAGGGGTAGGAAAACAGGCTTGCATAAATTACCTCAGTTTCTCCTTTCAGCCTCAAGACCCACCGCAATAGAGGGAACCCAAAATGTGTTTTTAGAATGGCAAAACTGGATTTATTTTTCTGCCCTCCCCCCTCGCCCTTTATCAAATGAGGGTTCACAGTTCTCACACAAAACTCCCCTGCCCGTTTTTCATTGTAATAACCTCACTGCAGGGAAGCAGGGAACCGTTTTGCTATTAAAGTGAGAATTAGAAATGTTTGCTGATTTGTCACAAATCATCTAGAGATCTGACTAAACCATCCTTAAATCATGTAGGCTTCAGGAGTCATGAGACTAAAGCCAGCCCGTGTGGCCTTGGGTAGGCTGCACAGTTCCAGAAGACGAGAGTGGCAATCCACTTCTGAGTACTCTTGTCTCTTTAAAAACAAAAAGCCCTGGAAAGGGTTGCCATAGGTCAGAATTGACTTGACAAGACCTATTTTTAAATTATTAATAGAAATCAAGGAGCCAAATATCATGAGGCAGAAAAAATCCCCACAGACTGCATGTCCTTTTTTCCCCCTTTCCATTTTGATTAAAGTTTAATAAGGCAAAGCAGTTTCATGAAATAACATGCTGATTAGATTTTAGTTTCTACCTTTTTTTTGTAGAGAATATGTAGTTTTAAACAAAAATTACTTCCTAAACAAAAATTAGCTTTTCTCTCTCCACCTATTTCAGCTGTATTGTAGTTTTTAATCATTTACAAGCCTGGGGTTTTTAGCAGGTTTCTCTTGGGGTAAGCTACTCTGTTTCATCACTAAGAAGTAAGAAACGTGTACAGCATTTTCTTTGGAACACATATTCTACAGATCTAGTTTTTTAAGAAGAAAAATCTCAAACTTTATGCTTTAAACTGCTGTACACGTATATGACCTACTACTATTTCTGAAAGGAAAATGAAAGAAGCTAAAAGGAATGTGCAGATTTATTTTAGACGGAATAAATAGCATGAGCTAATTACATGCATCTGGTGTCTGTTTACAGATGCAACACACTGGTGTTCTTCTTGTGGTGTACAAATTCTTCTTGCCCTTGCAGACATCCTCATGAGGCCTAACTACTGTGAACAGAGAGGTCAGGATTTGCGAGTTCATGGCTGTATCATACTCCTGGATTTGAACCCAAGAATGTTTCTGTAGGAATTAAAGCCAAAATTAAACTCTTTCTCTTAAAATGCCTGCACCAGCAGTAGAAACTTAGCCAAGGTGGCTCTGCAGTCAGGTTTGCAGACCATATGAGGATGGTCAGGGAATCATTCGTGTACAGAGGAACGGATTGGTTTTGCTACATTGCGTCTTTGGTCTCAGTGGCTATAACGCAGGTACCTGCCCTAAACTTTGCAACATGGGAGTCACAACAGGATGGGGGGAAATGCTTCTCACCAGCACCACCACTTCACCAGGTTTGGAATTGCACTGTAATGTCAGAAATAAAACATACAGTACAAGGCTGGTGCTTTATCGAACATTAGCCAGCCTTCCTTTAAAGCTTCAAATGTATGTTGCCAACGCTGAGTTTTATCCCTATCCTGATGTCACTGTACTTGGAACAGATCCACTTATGCTGCACGATGGAAGATTCAGAAGATATGGAAGTATTTCCTTCTTGTATTTCCAGTACCCTAGTGGGACTAGAATTGGCTACCCGGTAGTAATGACAGTTGATTTTGTATGGCTGTAAAAAGGGACTGAACATATGCATGACACACAGACGAATACCTGTATCAACGGCCATTAGTCATGATGGATATATTTGCTCCATTAGCAAAATCAAGAAGCAAAAGTAACTACCTTTTATAAGTTCCATGTTGTCAAGTCGAAACTGACTTATAGCTATCCTAATTGGACTTTCAAGGTAACTGAGATATCTAAGGAGTGGTTTTACCAGTTCAATTCTCCTAGTTTCCATGGCCAGGTGGGTTTTGAGTCCTGTTCTCCAGAATCCTCTATCCACTACACCATGCTGGGTAGCCAGTAGAGTCTTAAGCCATTAAAACATCCAAAACCATTTCATCTGGCTAGATGTTGTAGAGTTAGAGAGAACAGCAGAGTCAGAAAACTTGAAAAATACTCCTTACTGGATGTTTCAGGCTTCAGGATCTGCATTCTTTTAGTCTGATCATCTCCAGTTAGGGCAAAATGCTTCCCAAATGTGCCCAACCTGCCTCATCCCAGATGTAGTGAGGAGCCTTTTCAAGTGTGTATGCATGTGTTTTAATTGTGTTTTTTTTCTAAGCAATCCTTCCAAGATTGACCCCCCCAGAACTTCTGCAAGTGTTGTAGAAGGCCCATGCTTTATGCACTGAAATGGTGTAACTGCTTTCCATGTTATCAGAAGCAGTGTGGCTGCCACCTGTCTTGCTTACTGCTTCCAAATAATGGGATAACAGCTGCTCTTATTAATTAATTAGAGGTGCTCTGTGCATTAATTAATTAATCAGAGGTGCTCTGTGCATAGTGATTTCCTCGAGGTTCATCTCCCAGCTTCATGTGTGTGTGTGTGTTTAGTCGTTTAGTCGTGTCCGACTCTTCGTGACCCCATGGACCAGAGCACGCCAGGCCCTCCTGTCTTCTACTGCCTCCCGGAGTTGTGTCAGGTTCATGTTGGTTGCTTCGCAGACACTGTCCAGCCATCTCATCCTCGGTCGTCCCCTTCTCCTCTTGCCATCACACTTTCCCAACATCAGGGTCTTTTCCAGGGAGTCTTTTCTTCTCATTAGATGGCCAAAGTACTGGAGCCTCAGCTTCAGGATCTGTCCTTCCAGTGAGCACTCAGGATTGATTTCCTTTAGAACTGATAGGTTTGTTCTCCTTGCAGTCCAGGGGATTCTCAAGAGCCTCCTCCAGCACCACAATTCAAAGGCATCAATTCTTCGGCGGTCTGCTTTCTTTATGGTCCAGCTCTCACTTCCATACATCACGACAGGAAAAACCATAGCTTTGACTATTCGGACTTTTGTTGGCAAGGTGATGTCTCTGCTTTTCAAGATGCTGTCCAGATTTGTCATCGCTTTCCTCCCAAGAAGAAGGCGCCTTTTAATTTCAGGGCTGCTGTCTCCATCTGCAGTCTCCATCTGCAGTCGCCCAGCTTCATACACCCCCACTGTCTTGTTCCTAGCCTGGTGAGAAGAACTCATGAAAAACTGCCTCCTAAAAAGGTTACTACCATGTCTAAATGGCATTATAGGTAGATCAGATTACCTGGCTAAATGCAAACACAAAGACAATGGGTAAGGCGGCAGCAGACTCTGTATGAACCAACAAGCTGAAACATGCACAGGTGGACAAACTCCCAAGTCACAATTCCATTACCCAGACACATGTAATGACAATTTCTTAATGGTCATTTAAAGGAAAATTTCAGTACACAGCACACACCTATGACAACATGAATATTTAAGCAGCTGCATCACGTTATGGAATGGAAAACATCACAACTTCAAGAAAATTGCTATGAAAGCAATACAACTAAATGTCTTGCTCTTTTTTATTTTTTATTTATTTATTTTTTGCAAGGCTGCAGCACAGAAGAAAATTAAACAAAAACAAGGCTTGTTAATTTGGGGGTAGATTTATTTCATTTTTTTAAAGATGCTACATAGTCAAACAGGATTGGTCTTTTTTTTTAAACAGCATAGAACTAATTCCTACTATTTTTCCCCTACATAGACTTATTTTATATACAAAACCGTTTCCTGACCACAGTTTCCCCCAATGTTTAGATGACTGAAACCGAGAATTATGTAGTGCCCAAAGTATTAGGAGGCAGAAGAATCCATCATTACTACAGCAATAAAAAGAAAAAGTGTAGTTTTCCTCCCCAGTTTTTAACAGGTGCCCTTTTCCCTTTTCTTTTTAACCATTAATAGCAGTAGTCAGATTTCCAGGACCACAAGGAAAACATGAGATGAAGTTCATTAAATAAGTTAAATACGCTTTAAATGCCTGGACAGAAGAGTTTAACTTAGCAACATGAACTGACAGCAATGGTAGCTTGGTCCCATTTTAGAAGAACAAGACACTGACTCTCATTCCATACAACCTGACGCAAAGACCACTGGGTAGTGGTACTTTCATGTACTGTAATGGAGGGGCTACATTCCTTTCAAACTTTTTCATTTTTCGCACATCCTGGAATCACTTACTCTGAAGACAAGGTGAGACCTCCTGAAGCTGTGTGTGAAAACCCTACCCTTCCATAAAACAGGACAAGGTGGCCTAGAATGAGAGAGGTCACCACACAAATTCCTACAAACGCCCCTCCAACAACGTCTCTCAACACAGGTATCACCTGAAAGTCAGCACTAAACCGTTGATGGCTAAAGAGGATGCATAAGACTCCCCCTCCACTCCATGAAAAGAAGAGCTGGCCTCTTGTGAGAAGAGATGGGAAACGAAGCAGAGGCGGTACTAAGCATCTACAAGGAGGACACACACACACACACACACAAGACAAGCCCTTGTTCCCTCTCAGGCTGAAAAGACACACTCCCTGATTGCCTTTTATCTGGTTCAGGACAGAACCCGGATCGGCAAAAGCTGCAAGACATTAACAACTTAAAAATGGGAAAACAAGGTTTTGTAAAATACACACACACACACACACACACACACAAAAGAGGAACACACAGAGAGAGAGACCATGTGCGACTAGGCCTGTGATAGTTTGTTGTGGATACAAGTATACAAGTGTTGGGGGCAAAATGATATCTGGAAGACATGACAAGTAGGGGCTACAAAAAAAAAAAAACAACCTGCAAGAGGATAACATGGCTAGAGGCAGCACATGGTCCCGTTAACGCAATGGCAGCTTGACTGGAACACAAGACAGGACAAAAGCAAGCCATCTGACCAGACATGTGGCAGGGGAGGACCAAGGTACTCAGGGCAGTGGCCCACTGGGATGCTCTTCTTAAATCTAGCCTACATTGCGATTGGACCTCTGCTTCACCCTGGGAGCACTACAGGACAGCAAGCTGACTAACCAAGGCTAGGAAATTTGGCTTTGTGTGTTTCCAACCCATCATGGGCTGCCAGGGTTTCCCTCACTGCTAACCTGTGACAAGAGGAATAAAGCATGGAACTGACCTTCCTCCTATTTGTCTTGCTTCCTACCCTGCCACAAAGCAGTTCCCAAGTTCTGAAAGCATTTGTTTACACACCAGTCTTGTAAACAACCTGGCTGGGACCAACTGCAGAAATACCATGTGTTCAGAGAAGGCCTGGTGTTGCTGGCTCATGCTGAGAGCATGAACCTGCTCGGATTCCTTCTTTCCTTCCACTTTCCTCCCAAAGTTCCACCTTCAAAGGTCCACAGTTAGGGGCTCTCCACTCCGGTGGCTGTTGCAGAACCTAAAGAGGCTGGCCTGCGCTTGCTTAAGAACGAAATCAACAGCTTGGGGGGGGGGGGTAACTCAACCACAGGGATTGTGATTTCTGAGTCACAGCCCCTTTACAAGACTCTATAGGTTTATGAAGAGGAATGATGAGTCAGTATATTTTACAGAACGCCCTTCAACTCGCCTGCCTAAACCAAGCTCTAAATGAACAGAAGGATCTGTTTCTTCAGCGAAGCAACTTTTTTTCCCTCCATAGAAGTCCCAATAATGAGTACCAAGGCCCAAAAAACGTTGAAAGTTACTTTTTGAAGAGAAAAAAACAAAACAAACCACAATGCACCATTATAGTATTAAATACATGATTCCTCCCTCATTGCTCATATTCAAGATAATTCCCCTCTTCTCTCCTGCTTGCTCCTTGTACCTTGTATGTTTTTAAAACTTCCTAGAAGATTACGTTATGTTAATGTTATATTTGTGCAGGGGTAAAAATTTAAAAGGCAAGACCTGTGAGATGTCATACATTTTTTAACATTTGTTATGAATAAATTTAATCCAATGATATGGCAGATCCATCAATCCAATTTACAATCCTCAGCATGCTGCCCTCTACAAGGCGATTTTCCCTATAATTACGCCAACAATAAAGAACAAAACCACCAGCGCAAGTAGTCTAGTGCTGAGCCCCTCCTCCTTCACAGCAGCTGCTGAAGCAAAGGTTGGGTGGTTTGTTTGGGGTGCCTTCCTCATCCGCAGCCCATCTTCTTCCTGCAGGAAGGATTATTGGAAGTTTTAAAGTCAAGTGCAGAGAGTCAAGGCATTTGTTAGAATCTTAGCCTGGTCTGAGCTGGTGCAGGGACTTATTAGTGACTTCAAGAGTTCTTTTTCATCACAGAAGACTCCACTACACAGTACTTGGATGCAACCAGGCTCCCTGCTAACCCTTAGGTCCAAAACAAGGTTGGTTTCAGATGCCCGGATTAAGCAGGATGCTGGTTATTCCACGGGGGGGGGGTCATTCTCTTTTTTCAGAAAAGCAAATTGTGATGGTGGTGAGGTTTTTAGAGGATCCATGGACCACTGTCATTACATGGGGGAGCACAAGCACAAGCAACCAGTGGGTTGCCTGTTTTACAGACTGGATGCTAAGACGGTGACTCCTGTATTCTTCAACAATTTTATCCTGTTTTTTAGCCAAAAGGCTCTTGGAAAGACTAACAATGATGTAAATGTGAACCGGAGAAGAATATTGTGGAATAGCCAAAATCAACTGGTTGGGCAGGCCAGAATTTGATCGGGTAACCTCCCTGATAGACAGTGGGAATGCTGCAGACATTGTATATCTTGATTTCAGCAAAACTTTTGACACAGTGCCCCATGATATACTGATGAGCAAGCTAAGTAGGTGCAGGCTGGATAGAACAGCTGTCAGGTGGATACACAGTTAGCTACAGAATCGTATTCAGAGGGTGATGATTAATGGCTCCATTTCAAATTGGGTGGAAGTAACAAGTGGGGTACCCCAGGGCTCAGTCCTGGGTCCAGTGTTCTTCAACATCATGATTCTATGAAAAACACATCACAACAACAGCAAGATCTAAATGGATCAGGGAATTAAAAAGATTTTCAGATAGCCCCTGTCTCAAAAACAGGGAATGGATGACCAGATGAGTCTCTTGATGAGGTGAACCTTCTGAAGCCAACAATCTCTTCACTTAAAAAGGCCTCTGAACAATTGTTTCTATATCATGCTAATGTTAAAAATAATCTGCCTCTAATTAAGTGCTGAACTAAAACACAACTGTATTTATGTATTTATGCTTGATGTAGTAACATGTGTTAAGCAGGTAAAATGCATACATAATAAAAACCTGAAATATAACTATTTATCATTAAAAAAATTAAGACCCATCTTTCCCCCTCCCCAAATGTTACCTTAAATTGTTTATTCTCCTCTCGTAACCTCTGAACTTCTAACTGAAGCCTCTTACATTCCTCCATTACTTTCTTAACTTCACTGTCATCCAAAGAAGAACTTAACGATTTTGACATTACAGAAGATTCTGTCTTTGTTGCAGCTGTCGATATAATTTTATTTATTTCTACATCATGCTGTGGGGAAAGAAGAGAAAGAAAATGTTTATTTATGGATGTTTAAAACCTGCTCTTTCAGCATCTTTACAGCACGTGGAGTAGTCTACAACAATTTGAAGTCATAAAAATTTAATCCCACATAGAGAAAAGCAAAAAGGATACACATATAGCAAGTAAACACATTAAGGAAGAGACTTTTCTAAGCAACAAAAAGGGAGACGAGAGGGCAGAAAGCACCTCCCAAGGAAGAGAATTCCTTAATTTAGACAGAACTAATAAGAAATATTTTTTTTGCATCCCAGGGACTCGTACCCATAGCTTAGAAAAGTTAACTTTTGGGGATTCTACAGCTTGTGCAATTCTGGGACCCAAGAAAACAGGTGTTAGTTGTACCTTGGCACCATGGAGACAATGAAATGTGATGCCCTAAAAGACAATAAAGATGGGGAATGCTTTTATGGGAAAAAGGTTCCTTATATATATTCTTGAGCCAATCTAGTTAGAAGTTTGGGAAGTGATTACCAATGCTTTTAATTGTACCCAGCAACATACTAGAAGACATGCTGTTGTTGCAAAAAAGAATACACTATTTAGTCAGGTACCACTTTGTTAATCTAAACCAATTAACAAAAGGTTATCTTCGTACTGGAACTCTCAGGGGAACTCTGAAGGTTTAAAATATAAATTCCTACTTTTTCAGCAACTAGACAAGATCTAAAATAAAATGTGAATGCTACCAGAGCTCTAAGATGGCTGGGGATGATGGGAGCTGCTGTCCTATTCATGTGGAGAGCACCGGGTTAAGGAAAGATGGACAAAAGAATACTGCTGCCTTTTGACTGTAATATTGGCACAAGCCAACTGTAATTACCACTTCCGAGTCTCAAGAGCGCAGCAAAGAACAAGGGACATGTGCTCCACATCAATTTAAGTACATCCAGCTAGTCCTCTCTAATTGCAATAATTCCACCTCCGTTGAATTTCTGGAGATGTTCTAACACCCTTTTGCCATTTACACACACAATTGCAGAATTGTGTCCTGCATAATCTTAACTATAGTTTCGGATGTGGGCTTACAACATGAAGCAGTGTGACTTCCAAACAAAACGTAATACCAAAAAGAAAAAAGAAAAAACACCGAGCAAAGTTGTACTAGGAGTGCACAAGAGATTCATAATAATCAGCAATCCTGTGCCTCCTGATGTTCTGGACTGCAAAACCCATAATCTCTTACTACTGGCCAAGGTGTCTTGAGGTAATGGTAACTGTAGTCCATGACCTCTGGAGGATATCTGTTTGTCTACCCTTATTTTCTAGTAAGGGAACCAAGTTTAACCAATTAGATCAGTTAAAACATATCAATTGACTAGTGTGGAACACTTACTCTCTCTTTTTTTTAAAAAAAAAAATTGGTTCAAATTCCTGCTCAGTCATGAAAACTCACTGGGCTGGAAAAACCCATTTTAAAAATATCTCACTTGCCCTGAAAGCTCTATCAGGGTTGCTATAAATCAGTTTCAACTTGATGCGCATAACAGACAGACAGACAGACAGACAGACAGACAGACAGACAGACAGACAGACAGAAAGAAAGAAAGAAAGAAAGAAAGAAAGAAAGAAAAACTCTCCATCTTTCATTGATATTGTGTTGATCTAAACTACAGACTTATACCTTGGCTATGGAATATCCAGTGAATTTAAAGGGACCTGAGATTTCAGGTACAGACTCTCCCTTCATCCCAACAAGGCAATAAAGAAAACTGCACTCACAGGTTTATCATTTTCTGCTGGAAGCTCAAACACACATCTTAGTTTTGAATCCATGAGTTCTTCTGGTTTTGCTTCTTTCCACTAAAAACAGAAATGTAGGATAAGCAACTGTAAAGCTGAAGCACAGGTCTCTCTTCTTATGAACTACAAAATTTGCTTCCCCATTTAAAAATGAAGTTGTCACCAACATCCTAAGTATCTTCAGGAGACAATGTAAAAACCTCTCAAATTGACATACTGCATCTCAGTCTTGGAATACTTCATCTGTTGTTTACTTGCTTTGTTTGTCTGAAAAGGCAAAGGAGTGAGCCCCCGTACAAACTAGCGGTTTGAAAGCATTCAAAATGCAAAATGTGAGTAAATAAATAGGTACCACTTTGGTGGGAAGGTAACGGCGTTCCGTGTCTAGTCACGCTGGCCATGTGACCACAGAAGATTGTCTTTGGACAAAACACTAGCTCTATGGGTTGGAAACAGAGATAAGCACCACCACCTAGAGTCAGACACGACTGGACAAATTGTCAAGGGGAACGTTTACCTTTACATGTTTCCTAGCATTCTGAAAACACTTTTGATGTTTAAGGAGAAGCCAAGAAGAGAATTCTGAAAATCTTGATCACCCTGGTGAGTCTGGTGTGATGCTACTCACTGAATTTCCAGGTTTTTTCCCAGTGTTGAAGCTGTAGATGTGTGAAGTTGTCATATGAGCAGTTGCCCAGCAACCTCTGCAGTCTGCACATATCTCTCCAGCTCCAAAGTTGGGATGAAAGGCTGGGGACTATTTGGGCACTGTGCCTTAGCTGTACAATCACTAAATAGCTAATCCCTAATGTCTCAACAGAAACTGTTCCAAAACAGGAAAGTGAGTGGGTAAGTTGCTACCTGAAACTACTACCTGAAACTGCTCAGAACACCTTCAAGCAGTAGCGCTCACTAATGCATACTCTCTGCTGATTCTTCCATTTGGAAATGCCAGCAGAGGAGACTGGCTTGGGTTTGGCGCTGCATGGAGAGGAAAAAATGGTGCACTTGCAACAACTATTTTTGGCATGGACACTAAAATATCACAGGTATGTGATCCCAAAATGGTACCTATTTGGAAGCAGTTAAGATTCCAGTGGCACATTTACACAGCTGCACGCCATGTAGGACAAGTTGCTCTGGTTACACAATATTTTTGTGTGCCATATAGCAAAAATGCAGTGGGACTGCTCTTAGACAAACCAGCTTGTTCTGCCAATCATGCTCAGTCGTGGGTTGTGTGCAATGCGCCCCAGCAGCAGTTTAGACACTATAAACAGTAGAGCTGGTTGAGCCAGCAAAGACTGAAACATTTGACACATGCAAGCTAGTGGCATCAACAGTATTCCACAGGAGCAGCGTATGTACCTCCCCTAGATGACAAGTGTGCTCTTAGGAACAAGTATCAATGACATTTTTGGCTCTTAAAAATGAGTGTGGAGTATTAACAAGCAGAAGCAAGAGTCTCACAGACTGACAGCAAATTTATAGAAAATTCCACTTAATTATAAAAAATATCCAATCACTCTGCAGATTAGGGCATTATGAAAGCAACTGTATATTATTATTATTACTATTACATTATTATTATTATTATTATTATTATTATTATTATTATTATTATTATTATTATTATCAACTTCTTACATCTTTAAGAGTACAGCATTTTTCACTCCTACACAATCAGGCCAAACAGGAATGTTATTATACAATTATGATTTTGGTAGCTTTCACACTTTGGACTTTATTGCTAGATGACTTTAGATTTGAGCTTCCCCAGCAGGAACACCTGACATTGTTGTAACTTCTCATGCTCCAGAAAAGGAATGAAACTCCAGTCATCCGGTGCAAAATTCACAGATGTTGTTTATGTGCAAATATAAGACAAGCACACCCTTGTATTTCCAAAGTGGCACAGCGAACATTTGCCTTCCTCGGCTGGGGAGGATATGTAGCCACATCATTGCAAAATTATGGTGCAAGAGTATTCTAGGGTGGGACAATGTTTAATATTTATGGAGGTGGGCAAATGTATCCCACCTGAAACTAAGCAGGAAAAGCGAAACAGTAAACCAATGTGATATAATATTAGTCCTGGACCCAAGAGATTGATTTCCAACCTTTGTTCAGCCCTGGAATTTCACTGGGGGAAGGAAAAAATAAACCACTTTTTGGACATCTCACACACCTCTAAAAGCCCACCAGAGTCACTATAAGCATGACACAATAAATGACAATATGATCAAAACATCTCATTTGCCTAACACTTTTCATAAGGGAGTAAAGCAAACTCCCATCTTTTTAGAGAACAGATGGCTACAGCTCCTGTAAAGTCTGCACTCTCATCAGGGGTGCTAGTCCAGAGACACTGGGGGTGTTTGTCTCAATGCTCAGGTTTCTGGGAATTATGTGTCACTTCTATTCTAATGCCTGACCTTTCATAATAACGTGTTCCCCATTTCACCATACTGACAGAACACATACAGTGGTGCCTCGCTTAACGATTGCCTCATTAAACGACGAAACCGCTTTACAATGAAGTTTTTGCGACTGCTTTTGCAATCGCAAAACAATGTTCCTATGGGGAAAATTCGCTCAACGATTGGTTCCCTGCTTCGGGAACCGATTTTTCGCTAAACAATGATTCAGAAACAGCTGATTAACGGTTCTAAAATGGCCACCTGCTGTGCAAAATGGCTCCCCGTATGTTTTCAGGACGGAGTCCCCACTTTATAGGCAGCGAAAATGGCTGCCCCTATGGAGGACCTTCGCTGGATGGCGAGTTTCCAGCCCATTGGAACGCACTGAACCGGTTTCAATGCATTTCAATTGGCTTTTTCGTTTCACAATACGATGTTTTCGTAAGACAGTGATTTCAACGGAATGAATTAACATTGTCTTGCGAGGCACCACTGTACATTTAAACAATTTGCTGCTCTTTTTAAAAAGAGGACTGTTCATACAGAAGAAAAGCACATTAACATGGTAAGCCATTTTCAATACTCACTACTGCTTCCATATCTGAAGTATCAGGGGGTGCGAACATCGACTGAACCATGAACTTGTGTTTACTTTTCTCATTAGGGTCATAATCAAAAGGCTGTAGCATCACTGAAAAGAGAAATTATTGCTCTATTAGAACACTAGCATTTGACGGCATATAGGCTCATAGAATCGTTGTAGGGTTGGAAGGGACCTTGGAGGTCTTCTAGTCCAACCCCCTGCCTAAGACAGGAGACCTCATATCATCCCGGACAGGTGGCTGTCCAATCTTTTCTTGAAAACCTCCCACAACATTGGGAGGCAAACTGTTCCAGTCCGCTGGCTCTTCAGTCTGCTTGCCCCATTGTAACTCCCCAAAGCACTAACAGCTATAAAAGAAGCTGGAAACACCACGGCAAGTTCTTTGTGCAGCATGATCTGAACTTGGCAAACTGAAAATGTGCTTGAACTTCCTACATCCACAAAAGTAAACAGCTAAGAAGACTTCTGCAACACAGGAGGAGTTTTGATATGATGACCAACTGTGATAAGAAAATGTATTTCAAAATACAATGATTTATATATGAATGAATTTCATGGGTATTCTGAGCAAACAGCACCAAATGTAACACAAGTATGTTCCAACACTTGATATTTACTGAAATCAAAAATACACATTCTCTCACCTGTGGGATTCTGTGCTAAAGAAATCCTCTACAGATCCTGATGATAATGCTCTGGAGCCATTCCAAAATTGGTAACTGGGCCAATGTCAGGAGAAGCTGAATATACTATATCAAATGTGTATATGGCATAGCTAGATCATGTGAACAATAAATACTTCACAGAAAAAAACAGTGGATCTAATGGTGCTGGATTTAGGCATGGCAGATTGATCTCACAACCTAAACAGATTCTGCCTATTAGGACAATCATCTGTGTAGAGGAAAAAATCTCCCTACATATATGATAATTAGTTTAAACTGATATAAGGAAACTGCTATTAACATACAAGCAAAGTATGATGGACTCATTCCAAACATTTTGTACAAGATACTACTGTAGCCACAATATCCAAACAAATGAGAACCCATTTTTGGGGGAACCAGATGATTTCAGGAGTGTCTACTGTGCATTTTTCTAGAATATTTTCCAGTTTTGTCGAAGACTGTTCTGAGAAGCTTGTAAAAAGCACAGATTATTGAAGCCAAATCATTCCCCTGGACAAGTAACCCTGGAGTGCAGAGGTCTATCCGCAGCTTTTTAAAAAGATAATCAATGAGTTGGGAGTGCTTTCCTGAATCATACTGCTGTCCGTCTCAACTTGCAATGCACTTGGGTGAGATCAACAATGTATTCTCAGTTCTAGCAGGGCAAGATGACTGCACAAAATATACACACATCCTAGAACATGCCCCAAACACTTTGCAATTTGTAGAGGAAGCCATGCAGGGGTTTCACAGTGAATTGTCTTCTGGCTCGTTAATTAAAATACTGTTCAACCTGTTTTCCAAAGTAGGACAAAATGGAAAACTAGCGAGGGCTGGACGAAGAGTTATGCAAACTGCTAACGAAAGTTTCAGATCCCCCCACACCCTTGTGAACAGGAAGTGTGGAACCCTGAGGGTTGTTGCTGCAATGCTAGCTCATCAGTTTGTTACAGTGAGATACAAACAAAACTGACACGTTCAATGCATGTGCAAACTCTGACGAGGGAATGGCACAGACATGCATCCTGATTTCATCAGTTGACATGTTCTACAAAAAACAATCCTGTTTACACTTGAATTTAAATGGTTAGAACAGTAACCAAAACCAAACTCTAACTTCCAATAGCAATAGCTGAATTATCCCCTACCGAAACCCTCTTTAGATAGCTCGCTATGTGGATGAACTGCTTTTACAGCAAGGATGCTGACCTCAGATTTATTCTACATTTATTCCCAAACTTGGGTTGCCAGATGTTCTTGAACTAAAACTCTCAGAAGCCTTCACCACTAGTTCTGCTGGCCAGGATTTCTGGGAGTTGCAGTCCCATCTGGAGGGAAACCCAAGGTTGGGAGCCACTGCTATAGACAAAGGGTGGGATATTATATAGCCTTTTAGTTGTTACTGGACTACAATCTCCCCAATTCCTTACCAGAGCTGATGGGAAACAAAGTCTAAAGAGGACCACCACTGCCTTCCTTTCCTATAGTTTAATAGTAAAGTCATTTTAAAAAGCCACCACTGTACATATTTATGTACAGTATCTGAAACAGCATTCATTCATCTACTAGAGGCTTGAGAAACCCCAAGGTCTTCATAAACGAAGAAAACTGGGGTTATTGGGTAGTGATGCAATGGAATATCCAGGAAATGGCATGGCTGGCTGATACCCGGGAGAGGCGTACTCCACACTATAGCATTTTCCTGTTGGTCCTCAAGTGCATTCATCTTTTTCTACTTTCCGTTGCAGGAGGCAGGCAGACGATCCCACCTGCCCCCTTCCCTTATTGCCACCTTGTGCCTGATACAACACTATTCTTCCAACATGACAGTTCTGCCCGATACGTCTAAGTTGTTTAAAGACCTCATTCTTCCCCACCACTGCATTAGAGGAACATGCAAGGAGATAATTATAGCAAGAACAGCACCATGAAACATTGAAAAGGGCTGAGTCAAGCAAATCTGTGACAAATCACAAGAACCAGCAGGGATGTGCTGAGAGTGCTGTAACACATACACCCACTATTTCTTAAGAACCTAATGTGCAGGCTGGTGATGAACTCTAGCAGCTCCAACGTCCAACGATTTGTGCGTGAATTAATAACAGCTTCAGCAGAGGTGATAAAAGAAAGCTATGAGCAAAATGCATTTTAGCCTATCATCCAAATTTATTGCATCGTTCTGTTGTTGTTAATTATGGCAGCATACTAGGGAACACAAGTATGCAACAGCTTGACTTGAACTCAAAAGATCAGCTTCCTCCAACTGCGCTTCAAATAAAGTGAATTACAAGTCTAATTTGCCACAGCTAGAATGACCAAAGTTCTGGAATGGCTGCACTTCCAAAACAGTTGGAAGGTACCAAGATGGGGAGGAACTACACAGACCATGTAAACTAGATCCCACAGGAGACAAGTGCAGTGGATTGAGATGTCACTGAGACACATGTAAAGAAAAGGAAAGTCTTTGACATAATGCTGGAGTCATCGGGTATGGCATTAGGTTTGCTAGCTGCGTAAGAGATGCACATCCTGTCACCTTTGCACCAAGACAAATTCCTGTTTCAATAAGTAAACACATTTGTATTTCCCAACGTATTAAAACACTTTAAAAACGGAAACAAATCCTAGGACAGTGATGGCGAACCTATGGCATACGTATCACAGCTGGCATGTAGAAACCTCTCTGTGGGCACACGAGCCATAAATTGCCATCGAAAAATACTTACCTGTCCTCTGATCCAGATTTTGGGAAGAACTCTTAGGAATGGAGGCAGAGCCAAGATGGCAATGGCCACCACCACCACAAACACACGTACACACCCAGTGTTAGCCACCACTAAACTACCAGTTGCAAAAGAGCTGCATTAAATAGGAATCTCAAACTGTAAGTGCATCTCTTGGTAAATCAATTCTGTTCTTGTTTAGTCATTAAGTCGTGTCCGACGCTTCATGACCCCATGGACCAGAGCACGCCAGGCTCTCCTGTCTTCCACTGTCTCCCGGAGTTGGGTCAAATTCACGTTGGTAGCTTCGGTGACACTGTCCAACCATCTCGCCCTCTGTCATCCCCTTCTCATCTTGCCTTCACATTTTCCCGACATCAGGGTCTTTTCCAGGGAGTCTTCTCATGGGATGGTCAAAGTATTGGAGCCTCAAATTCAGGATCTGTCCTCCCAGTGAGCACTCAGGGTTGATTTCCTTAAAAATGGACAGGTTTGTTCCCTTTGCAGTCCAGGGGACTCTCAAGAGCTTCCTCCAGCACCACAATTCAAAAGCATCAATTCTTCGGTGATCAG